CGCGCCCCGCCCCGCCGTGCCCCGCCGCGCCCCGCCGCGCCCGCTCTCGCCTCTCGGCGTCGGCCTCGCGTCGCCCCGCCGCCGTCGACTCACTCAGTTCAGTCGTGTCCGTTCAAAGCGCAGCACTCGCCCCGTTCCGAGCGCGTCTATGTGTGCGTGTGTGTGTGTCTGTGCCCGCGTGTGAGTGTGTGTGTGTGTGTGAGTGTTCCAGCTCCCTAAGGATTACGCTTGATTTGCAACCCTTCCAGCCGCAGGTAACGTCTGCCGTTCAAGCCCTAGCTGCTCGTTGGAAAGAGTAACCGGTTCCTATAGCGCCGCCCCCGTGGCCTGCGACACGTACTTCTCGCTCTCCGAGCGCGTCTTGAGCGAGGCCTAGGCCGCCCTGGTCCCGGCGGCAGCGCTGGCAACAGGTCATCTCATTGTGACTCCGGCTCAGTTCATCAACGCTAATCCCGGGCTTTCCCCCTCCCACCCCCTACCCATCGCCGCACCGGTCTGGCTTACCCGACACCTGCCCCTTTAACTAGACTTACACTGCTTATCTGGCCTGACTTACTCGGTCCGACTTACCCCGTCCGTTTTTCTCGGCCTGACTTACCCGATCCGTTTTACTCAGCTCGACTTTACCCTGCTCGCTTTACTCAGCCCGACTTACCCTCATGCTGTTTCGTTGTACTCGGCCCGATTTACCCTGTCCGTTTGAGTCGGCCTTACTTACAAGGGAACCTTTTCAGGTGTAAATCTCCGATTTCGTTGAAACTCGGAAAATTTACAGGTTATTGTACTAGAAGTCGGATGGCACTTGAAATTTTTCCTGAACCTCACAGGTACTAGGGGTTTACTTAAGCCTTACACTACTTTTTGTCACAAATATCCCTCTACCGCCTTAACGGTACAAAATAGAGCAAAACGGACAAAATTTTGGCCCAAAGGGCGCTACTTTGATGAGTTACCCCTTAGAACACTGCCTTACATTTTACAAAAAATATCATAAAAACCATGCATAAAAACCGTACTCCTACCCCTATATAGGGGAAAATTAAATGTGAGGTTCAGGAAAAATTTCAAGCGCCATCCGATTTCTACATAAATAACCTTCAAATTTTCCAAATTTCAACGAAATCGGAGATTTACACCTGAAAAGGTTCCCTTGTTAGCCTGTCTGCCTTACCCGGCCCACCCGTTTGCCAGGGCCTAACTCATACCCATCATATCAATGGCAATAATCCCCCCCCCCAACTAGAGCGATAAGGAACACTACTTTGCCGACGACTTATCCCCTGGACTTCCCTTCGAGATATCGAGCTTCGCGCCGCGCCCTGTGCGCCTTGTCTGTGTTCGACTTCGTCTATGTGTGTGTGTGAGAGCATTTCCCCCAACGGGGCAGGTCTCTGTCCCATCGTGGTGTTCATGCGCTTTCTCTCTCTCGCGCAAACCTCGCGTGTCCAGTTTAAAGAGAGAGAGAAAAATTGTTCGTTTTAATGGCGTGATCTTATTTACGCAGTACCTTCTTGCAGGCACTGTACTGTGCGAATAAGTGATGATACATAGTCGGTGCGGTCAATGTACTTTTGCATGTGACCTGCATCCTCATTACCGCCGTGCCTTACCTCTCACCTTCCTGACCTGACTGTACACTCATACATATAAGCGCGGGTGCGGCCAGCGGGCATAGTATGTGCACCGCCGTCCCAGCCTGAGGATGTACCACCACAAAACACTCCCGCGATCGTGTGTGAGTAGCAAAGTGTTGTGTACTGTGCAACCCCTCCTACGACTTTAAGTTCAATCGCCCGCGACTCTGAGGAGACTACGCCTCCAGAAGCAAAGAGATAGTAACAGATCACAATGGGCTGAGATTTTTTTTTAAAGTTGTGCAGGGGTAAAGTGTGCAGGGTGTAAAAAGGGTAGCTTCCGGTAGCCCCCCTCTTCACACACTCACACACACACACACACACGCATCACTCACTCGCACTTACTCGGGAAGCACAGGTGTCTGACTCACTGTTGTGGGAGAGAGTGACCATTCGGCGGCGGCGGCGCGCGTTACGGCGAAAGAGAGAGGGAAACAAAAAGATGGTTCGTTAAAAACAAAACAAAAACCGAGACGCAGTGGGAAACGGGTTTCGCGAACGAATGTGGGTTACTGTGGCGGCGCCCACCCAGGACCACGTGCGTCTCGGATGAGGGGGAGTCGAGGTGATCTTGCGGACCGACCGAAAATGTTTGGTCCAAACTACGTCTAACGGGCGACAGCTGTCGCGAAGTTGTCGAAGCACCTGTCCGATCCTCCTCACAGACAGATGAGGCCCAGTCCCGAGCGCTCCAAAATTCATATAAGCAGCTGTTGCGCGCCCGCGGTCACCTGTTCGTCAGCGCCACTCCGGTAGTCAAATTTTCATTCCAAACCTCACCCAAAGTTTTCCACACACAGAGTGCTCTCTGCTCCTAACAGAAGTCCACAGTAGTGGCAGTCACGGGGCGCTCCGTGACGCTGCAAGTCGAGTGCGTCGTTGGGGCGCGGCAGGGGTTCAGCGACCTGACCCACTTGGTCCTCCGTGAAGGTGCACCTCATCATCACCACCGCCGCCGTAACTGGGCGGCAGCAGCAGCGGCAGACAATGACGGCGGGTTTGATGATAATCGTGTGATCATCACCCGGCTGCCGGACTCTGCGCCGCTCACGCCCCCCGTGCCTTTCTCCGGCCGGGCGCATTCCTGGGCTCGGAATCAATGTCAAGGCCCCCGCACGTCTCCCCCCCCCACCCCCCTCCTCCTGACCGGGGATACATATACACACCAGGGAAAGTATGTGGGCGCGGGCCAGGCGGCCGCTTCCCCCCCCCTACCCTCTGCAGCCACCCGTCCAGAAACACGCACTGGCTGACGGGGAGGTGACGGACGGGGCCGCGTCCTCCAGCGGCAGCCCACGCCGGCGCCCCCACCCCCTCCCCCGGAAGGAATGGGGCCCCTGCCAGGGCGCCTCCACCCGTGCCAACATCATTGACCCCCTTCGGGGGGCGGGGGCCGCCCCCGGGCCCC